CAAACATTATGAAAATGTTACTTTTGAATGTTCTCTGAACGTAACATTTTTTTTTAAATCAAACATTCCTTGACTGATGTATAATAACTTTTGTTGTGTTTGAACATTGCAACAGTGTTACAGGAAGAACGTTTGCTCACAAACACATAACAATGTTTAACACTAATATTCTGGCTACGTTGTTATTGCATTTGTTTGTTTTAATGTTAAGGGAACACTCCATTTTTTGATTTTCCAAACATTGTGGGAATGTTTTTTCGAATGCTCTTTGCAAACCTTGTTTGATTTGGTGCTCCAGCACTTCCTTTCTTTGTAAATAACTCAAAATAAACAAAAAGATGATCTTCACAGCTGCCAAAAGACATTTCCATGATGTAAGATAGTATATTTACACAAAAATGTTTTAGATGAGGAATGCATTAATTAATAAATCTATTCATGTTTTACCCTTACTCTGACTCTCAGCTTTCATTCATTGGAATAAATGACAATAAAATGTAATGCATGAGTCTTCTGAAGCCAAACAACAGCTTCGTGTGAGGAACAGAACACAATTAGTGTTGTTTGTGAACTATTTCGTTAATATGCCCATTTGAAGTGCTTGCAAAATCAAGTTTTTCCAAGTTCAGTCGCAGGAATACATTTCTCCTTGTCGGTTGAGGCCTTTTTATCATTAAAATAAATCGCAATTTAGCAAATCTCAGCTCTGTGACTGTTTATATTGTTGCAAAATGTAAATGATGTTGATATTCAACTCTAATCTGCTAAATGTGACTTTAAGGCTTGAAGATATGATGCTATGAACATCAACATAAACTATTATAAACATCACGATTTTCTCTAGAGCTGCTTTAAAATCATGTAAATTGTAAAAAGTGCAAAATAAATAAATTTGGCTTGACTTAGAAATTGAAAGTTAAATTTTGGTCAGGAAAATCTGGATTTAATCACGTGTATCAGGGTTATGATCATTTAAAAAAATGCTTGAAATGAAACGCATGTTAACTGAAATAAAAGAAAATATAAAAAATGTAAGATTTTATTTCGCTTAAAAAATATTAAACTTATTTTATTTCATCTAGCGGCCAAAACATAATTTCTCATTTTCTTTCAGTTTGACAAAACTGAGACAAAAATTACTATATAGATGTATTGAATAGACAAAAGCACAACAAAATTACCAAAACTTTAACTAAAATGAAAACAAATTATTAAAAAAATAAACGATATAAAACAGAAATATTATATCAATGATACTAAAATAACAGCAGTGTGAATGCTGGTTTCTACAGGCCTTGCGTCGGAACGCGACTGTGTTGTCATGGCAACTGGATGTGGCTAGAAGCTGAGTCCTTCAGGCTCTCACGAGGACCGTATGAGCTCATTAAAGCAGCGCTTTAGTTCAGTTTAATGTCCTGCTCATCATACATGAAGAGGAAAAGTTCACACAAAAACTGAATTTCTGTTATCATTTACAGATGAATCTGGTTTGTGCAACACAAAAGGAGATATTCAGTAGAATGTTCATGCTGCTCCTTTCCATACAATGAAAACTACGATACTATAACAGCAGATGCTCTAAAGCTTTGTGTGAAGAGCAAAAATGAAGAGGAATTGTTTTAAAAGGAGTTCATCATGTGCCTGATGACGTGTGTTCTCGGCAAGCCGTGGGTCATGCTGCTCTGATCTTTTAAAACGGCTTTGAAGAAGCTCGTTTATATCTGTTTGAGTCTGATTTAGGAGAGATGCAATATTTGTTTTTTTCTTTTAAGATGCTGTGTTTTAATATTTGTTTGTTTTTTCTTTTGAATGCATTGTACAGCATTTTGGGCTGCTCTTGTGACAGTAGAAATGCACTATAGAATAGAAAAAGTGTAATAAATATACATATTATTGTTGTTATTATTTTTAATAAAATGCATTAATTTATGGTAAATATGTTTACCAATAACTACAAACCAACATTTAAAAATTAATTAATTAATTAATTAATTAATTAATCAAACTGAGTAACCAACCAAATAGAATATTAACAATAATAATAATCATCATAATCATAATGAATGTAAATAATACTTAAAATATATATTTATATAAAAACTAAATCTGCAATCCTGTTACCCATCTTAGTGTATTTGTTTTTAGATTTGAAATATTATTAATGAATTATTATTATCATAACCATAATACATTGAAATAATTTTTAAAAATATACAAAATAAAATACAACAACATGTGTAACAGGGTTGAGGATCTAATCTAAATGTGGCTGTCACTCGTCAGCGCTGCTAATAATCACAACAACATTATAACTGTTCACCACAACGCACAATTAATTTTCTCAAAGCTGTAAACAGCGTACAATGAGCTCAATGTTTGACGAATCTCATAAACGTGATCTGCCAAAGCTCTGGACTTGAAATCATGACTTCATAAGCACCTGATACAACACACTAATCATCACTCAGAAGTGTGCTTCAACACAACAAATATAAGCTGGATTCAAAATATGCATTTGGTTGATCAATTTAAGATCTGTCTGCAGTAATGCACGGAAAACAGCGTCTGCAACACGTGATTCTGATTGCTCTGTCACTCAATTCTGTGGTCAAATATTTTTGACCCTTAACAGAAAACTCAAATCAGTTTTTCACATCCATGTATTTAGCATAATTGTCTCGGGGGACTTTGTATTAACTATCAATATTATTAATGTACATTATCCTGACCCTTGCATAAAAAGCTCCCATACTTTACGCATAAATGCAGCCTCATTAATAGCAATGCACCAACATAATCTGTTAATAATCAGAAAGCCTTCATGTAAACATGAGAGGAGATCTGAAATAATCTGATCAACAGGAAGAAGTTAAGCATGTAAGTTTAATGTCTTATGAACTGGTCAGTGGAAGACGCTGAACATTTACTTAATATTTTTAAATGTCTCAAATAATTCTCTTCTGCTCACCGAGGCTGCATGTATCATCAAATGTACAGTCAAAACTGTGAAATATTATTATAATTTAAAATAACTGTTTTCTGTGTGAATATGTGTTAAACTGTAATGTATTCCTGTGATGCGCAGCTGTATTTTCAGCATCATTCCTCCAGTCTTCAGTGTCACATGATCTTCAGAAATCAGTATAATATGCTGATCTGCTGCTCGAGAAACATTTATTATTATTATTATTTTCATATTATGTTGTAAACAGCTGAGTAGAATTTTTTCAGGTTTCTTTGATGAATATATAACTCAGAAGAACAGCATTTATCAGCAATAGAAATCTTTTGTAATATCATAAATGTCTTTATCAACACTTTTGATCAATTTAATGCATCCTTGCTAAATAAAAGTATTAATTTCTATAATTAAAAAAAAAATTATAATGACTCCAAGTTTTTGAATGGTATACGTGAGTGTACATTTATTCATTTTTTAAATAAAACGTTTAAAATCATAAGCAAATTGTTGAATGGACCTCTAAATGTATAGGTATAGTAGTTGAGAATCACGATTACAGTGTTGTGTTTGTTGTCTTTTGTGAAGCCCAGTTATGATGCATCTGGTTTTTACCAAATTTTGGTTTGACCATAGGACCATTTTTTTCTTGCTAGACTGTAATACATAAATAGTGGAAAGATGTTTGTTCGTGAAGTATTAAAATTTACACAGAAGATCTGCTGTAGGTCTACTTTTGTTTAAAAATGCGAATACAAATGAATTTGCTAATTGAAAAAGCAACATTTTCTGATATACAACCCCACATGCATCCCAAGCACAACCCTCTGGAAATAAAGCAGAAATTAAGGTAGTTGAGTGAAAGCATCGTGGTTTGTTTAATTCGTGCTTAGAGAAAGGCATCGAGGCCACGGCAAGAAGATAACATATCCAGCATCCAGTTGACCACATAAACATGCTTTATTTCAACATCCAAAATAATTAAAAACATCTCGAAATACTGTACATGTACAAAATAAGTACAGATCCTTTGCTGGAACCATCAGAGGGTCTTTTTCGCTTCTGTGGGTGTTCTTTTTTGCCGCCTTGAGAAACCTTTCACTGAAAACAAGTCAAACAAAAAGAGAAAAGAGATGTGCATTGCATTTTGAAAGTAGGCATGTACAGACAAAAATAAGACTTCTCGGGAAGGTGAAACGGAGACGAGACGAACTGGCAATCAGTCCATCCGCTTAAACCATATCAGATTAAGTGCAAATCTACAGTAACCAGCCCTTTTATTCTCCTCGGCTGCTGACTCTTTGATAAATGCATCACATTGACATTCTGTTGACAGCTAGCACCAAAACAGCCCTGCGAGTGACAGCACCAAAACAAACGCGTAGCACCTTTTCATACCTGTTAATAATCGCTAACGCCCTCGTTTTCCCCCCAACACCTGTGTTTGTCCTGAGGTAGCCTTTACTGTATATCAAGATGACGTTGCACCATTGAGCTAACTGTGATGTTTGGTGAGTTTTTCTCACTTGGAAGGAACAAGACACTCGGCTGTCGTTTCTCATATTTATTCAACACCAGAGAATGGTACATTAGCAAACTGTGAAATATTATTATAATTTAAAATAACTGTTTTCTGTGTGAATCTCTGTTAAACTGTAATGTATTTCTGTGATGTGCAGCTGTATTTTCAGCATCATTCCTCCAGTCTTCAGTGTCACATGATCTTCAGAAATCAGTATAATATGCTGATCTGCTGCTCGAGAAACATTTATTATTATTATTATTTTCATATTATGTTGTAAACAGCTGAGTAGAATTTTTTCAGGTTTCTTTGATGAATATATAACTCAGAAGAACAGCATTTATCAGCAATAGAAATCTTTTGTAATATCATAAATGTCTTTATCAACACTTTTGATCAATTTAATGCATCCTTGCTAAATAAAAGTATTAATTTCTATAATTAAAAAAAAAATTATAATGACTC